AGCAGCAAATCTATGCATCGAAAAATACATGGAAAACAATGTGGGGGTCTGATAGCGTTGAAAAGATGATCAATTTAAGTTAATATTGCTGAAGGAGGTTCTTCTGTTATGCGTAACGCTTTCTGGTTCATCTGAGGTCTAATGGATAGACCAGGTAAGAACCAAACATTCACTTTGCTGCGTCCTGATATGTAAACTCTGGAGCTCATAGAGAGTACTTTCTTTTTCACATGGCTGTATCACTTGAGGCATTTTATCAGCTTTAACGCAGCTCCCACTGGAGCCTTAAAATGACTCCTTTCCTCCACAGATGGAAAAAAAGATCTTGTAAACAAACCCTGATGTGTGAAATTGCCGCGGCTCTCCTTTAATGTTCCCCGACTGCATGATATACCACACCTTCTGTGCACATGTGCATTTTTTATAGCATTTTAAAAACGGCATGCTTTGCGGCAAAGTCTGCCATGGTGTAAGGTCAAAGCGAGTTGTAAGGTCTCTGTGGCTAACGTGGCTGTCTGCCAGCCCCGAAAGGTGTAACATCTTAAGATCCAAGGTACTACCATGGTGATAATTTGACAGATGGCACAGAATTAAAACAAGAGGGCACCAGATGAAGAGACGAGTCATGTGTTATAGCTGAGGGTAACAGTGGATAATGTGCCAAGTGCCAAGTATATCTCCTTTATACGCAGAGATATAAAGGAGGGGAAGGGGCACTTTGAGGACATGACACTGACCACACATTGACAGAGAAACAGACAAAAATTACTCCACTATCAAAGACCCTCTATCATTATTCACTTCCTATAAGGTCCTATAAGCAGTAAGTTATCTCAGATTTGATTTGTGATCATTCTGAAAACTTCAGATGAGCAGAGTACACGGTGTGCATTCCTCTGCCCCACCTTTTACCTTTTAGTAACACAGACTGCTTCGTTCACGTCCCTCGACTATGTGCGTGTGTAGGGCAGCATTGTGGTTATATTTAGGAGTTACTGATGGTTGTGATGTGTGCCTTTCCAGGATCTCGTAGTGCTTCGTGTCATAATATTTGCTCTGCAGCCTTCTACCTGAAATATGATGAGTTGGGGCAAAAAGCTTCCTGGGATTCTCATCCTGGAAAAAATGAGAAAGTTAATCCTTTCAATCTATCTGACAGATGGAAAGAGAGACTAAGAGCGCAAAGAAAAATGAAAATAGTTCTCAGCTGAAAACTTTGCTGTTACTGCACAGCCTGCAAAGCAGCAAAAAGGGGGAAGAAAAACCTAATGAGCCTGTCAAAGGGAGACATGTGTGACCGGTTTTCTCGTGGCTTATTTTAATCAAAACACTGCTTGCTATCAGTGGAACAGAAGCTCTTTGAATAACAATTTCTCTGACAAAAACAAGAAGGGCAGAGTGGGAGAGAAGAGACTGGAGAAATAACACGTGAAGAGACTGACAGAAGCACACAGTGCATTAGTGTCAGGAGGTCTTATCAAGAAAAATTGGGAAATGGGTAAAATGTCTTAATGTTTTGTGCCGTTTTGATGGTGTGTCTAAACATCACAGCAGAGGGGAAAGCTGACGGGCAAAAAAAGGCTCAGAATCTTGACCAAGTGTTGGCTGTGGGTGGACAAGCTTTTCCCATCACAATACATGCTGGCAGGGAAGGCCAGTTATAGGGAATTATCCTTCAGCACACCACTAAACAAGTATATGTCTGGACATCTTAGTGTTTTGAATAGAACTGTCACTTTATAATACATATTCTTACACAGTGTGCTAAAATGCTCTGTTGTATCTTACTGGCAAACATGGATTGCTTGGATGTGTGGGTGGCCCTTTTGCAAAAAGCCACTCCCACCCATTTTCCTTCTGGGATGTATTCCCATCAACACAAAGACAGCAAGCTTTACTTTATGTCGAACTAATGGCAAACATCCTAAAACAAATGCCTTTGTGTATCACAATAATTCAACAAAGTGCATCCAGGTCAGAACAGGCAAACTATGATGCTTCTCAGTTGAGCTTCTTGTTTTGTTAAGAAAAGTGATAGACCTAACAGAAGTTAATCTCTGTGATGTTCATGAGATGAGATGGAAGTAACACATTCAGAGACTGAAAGGCTACTGAATATGAACAGATATGAACAAAGAGATGTGATAAAACCTAAATCCAGCCCTTCTCGCATACATAATGCAGAATTATGCCTTGTTCTAGTTCCCAGTTTGCTTGTTTTTGCTTGTTCACGCTGACCCAACAGTGGAGCTGGAGCATGATGCAATGTGATTCAAGCAGCATGTCCTTGTAGCAGACTGAGAAGTGTGACAATAGTGTTGCTAAGCCAAGTCCCTCTTCTCCAACAATGACACTCTGTTGAAAGACGTACGTTTACCTCCACTGTGCGACCACTTCCAACTTTGTACCTGAAAAATACTGCTGCAAAGTGGAAAAAAGGTTCACACCCAGAACAAACAAAGTGCAACTAGGGCGTATGCTCATGCTAGACGTTATTTAAAATGAGTTTTTCGCCTTCAGGAAAAAAACACTTTAATGAGGGGAATCTTGTTTTTTTTTAATCTATCACAGCTTCATTATTTGTCTGCTTGAAGGGGGCAGGAGCATCCTGAAAACATGACACCAAATCAACATTTGGGCTTACATGGCAATCTTGCTATCGACCATTAAGTTGTTCACAGGTCTGAGTCTGCTTTTATCAGGTATTGGCGGTGATACACCGGATATGTCTGAATTCCAGTGGGATACAGACGATTAATAGCTTCTCACTAACCTTGAAATGAAGCTGCAGCGTGTCTATGGTTTTATCACCCTGAGTGTCTGTCTCATCATTGTGATGTTGTCATCTTATGTTACTTTCATCCATGCAGGAAGGATATCAATTTTACATGCTTTCATCGACAAATTGCTTTCCACAAACAACCCAACATAAGTCTTTGGGGGACATTTTAGCTCATGTTACGTTTCTTTATTCACCTTTTCGTCACCAGATTACATCTGTTTACAATGTTTACTGCCTCTTACCTGAAGTAAAGTGAGGCCGTATTTCTCTCCTCTATGACTCAGTTTTTAGGCTTAAAGTCAGAGCCTCAAAGTAGATGATAGCAACTGAATAATAATCAGGAGAGAAGCCCAAATCTTTTAAACGTGTGTGCTGAACTAGTAATGCGTCCAAATAAGAAAAAGCGTGTATGAGAGGAAGCGGGAGCGATCATCCTGACTATGTCAACTTCCACACGCCCATTTTGCCAGGCTATGAGTATCCAGATTACAGTTAATCCGAAAAGCCACAGTGAGACTCCTGACAGAAGCTGGGGGGAGCTGGCATATCAGCCCCGTTCGAGTTTCAGAGCAATACGATCGCAATTTAAGACCAATTTTGGAACTTTTGTGAACCCCTTAGGGGAAGTTTGAAATTAGCTTTATGGCAGAAGAGTGCCACAGTTGAGGTGGTGTGATCAAGTGGACACAGCCATCTTGCTTTTTATCCTGTTATGAAGGTAGATTTAAATGCATTGTCTTAGCCTAACATTTATTCGGTAGCATCATCAATATGATGCTCCTTTATTTTCTTTACTTGACTGTTAGAAAGAAGGGGGAATATCAAAGAAAATGTAGTTCAATAAAAGGATGGGGTTCAGCAGCAGAGAAACCGGCTTCAGGGGGAAAACAGAGGAAAACAACAAAAGGAGACCGGCACCGAGGCCCAGGCTCTGTGCGGTGAAAAATTTGCATTCACCTCGCAGTAAAAAAACAAACAACCAGCACCCCTCCCCTGACCCCCCAAAAAACACAAACAAAATCAAACAAAAAACTAAAGGGTGAGTTCAGAAAAGAGGAAAACAGTCAGCAGTTCTTTGGCATAGAAGTGACAGAAAAATGAGTGTTTAGAGTCCTGCAGTTTAATCCTTGAAGCTTCCTCAGCTGTTCAAGTGAGTGAGGAAGTGAAAAAGCAGCAGCATAAGTCACTATAAGCTGACAGGTGAGCGGGAGGAGAAAATAAGTTAAGACGTGCTGCACTGCTTACGAGCATCTTTTAAATAAACCATGGCAGCAAAACCTCAGATAACTTAACGACGGCCCAGGAACCCACAGTTTTTCTGCTCTCCTGCTTTCACATGGCTGAAAATCCCAGTGGTCTTGCTATTTTTCCTTGGCTTGTATGGAAATCATAGAATGATTTAGCTTAGGTAGATGACAGTGAGAAAAGCTCACGGGTACCACACGGGGGCCTGTCTTTTTAAAATACACAGAAAGAGAAAAGCAATTCCACATACTTAGCTTACTTGAACTACAGGTGTGCCCATATGAAAGATAAAAGCTAATTATTTCACATGTAAGATGAACAGTCTCTTGATTACTTTTAGTTTGAGCAGAATATAAATGTGTTGGATAGACATCTGGCATTAACTGTTTATAAAAAGTGATTATACAGTGTATTTGAGAGTTATAGCAGAATGAACTTTAAAACCAAATCACATCAGTTCATGCACAGCTGAAAGGAACAAAAGATTGCTGAAAACAATGTTAAAACATTGTGACATCATGACCCCAATTATTCAAAACAATCCAAATAAGATTACAAATGTCCTAAACAAAAATGAATAAAAAAAGAGCCTGAAGGGTCATCAAACTGGATGCTTTTCCTTGAACTACTGCACACTTTGCTAATATAAGTAATGGACATTAAATGGGTGAAGATGAAAAAAACTGCTGGGGCTCCTATTGGGAAAAATATGACTCATACTGGACATGGTCTGTCTCTGCTGGCCTGCTCAAAGAACATGTGTGATTGACCAAATAGAAATGACTCAGTATCTGTTTTTAAATGTCATTTATGCTAAAACTAAGATTATGCTTGTGAATTTGTCACAAAAACTGTAAGGACGTGTTTCTGAGATGATATTTTTACACTTGAGAGACAAAATAAACCCCTCGATTTTGAACTTAAGCATGTTATTAAAGAAGCCGTTGGAGGCATCGCATGCGCTCTCACTTACTGTTGGTTTTGAGGCGGGCGGGTTCACTGTTGCGGCTTCCAGCCTGGTTGATAGCCTTGACGAAAAAGATATACCGGGTCCCACTCTGCAAGCCGTGCACTGTGTAGTGGTTCTGCTTGATGTTCGGCACAATCATCCAGCTGTCCGCAGAGTTGTACAAACCTGGCAGAGCCACACACACACACACGCACACACGCACACACACACACACACACACAGAATACTAGTATCATGGTTCTGGTGATGCTTTCAGGGTGTGCAGAAAGAATGAGCCTGGCTGAGAATCCTCTCAACGTTGATGTTCAAAAAAAGAAAAACCCATTTTCCCCCAAAATTCAAATGGAGCAGAGTGTTATTTTTCTCCTTGAATTCTCAAGTGAGTCATCTCACACTAAGAGGCTAGGAGACCAAACAGGCTCTTGATGTTTTGCAACATTTATGTGTACCTAGAGATCCATTCCATTACCCTGCCATCACGTTTATCATGAGTTCCCACAGGCGGGCCAGTGCATTCACAAAGCTGAAGCCATAAGTCCCTTGGAACAAGGTGCTTTCCATATGACAAGTACTGTTACTAAGTGCCTCAAGGCAATAGAGTACAGCATGCTTTATAATTCAAATTTTGAAAATGTGAGCAATGCCAAAATGATTGTTGTTGTTGTGAGGGACTTTGAGTCAAGGCAGATGGAAAGTGTCCCTGGCTTTGCTCCTCAGTCACCAGTTTTAAAGGAGTCCTCTCAGTGGAAGAGATGCAGCAGACTGTTAAGTATGAATAAGAAATCTAGGCTCAGGGTAGAGGGGGGAATTGCCCATGAAAGACTGCTTCTTTGGCCTCAACTGCAGATGAACTACTGCGATTTACACATTACGCAATCTCCACTCCTTAACCATATACGTTAGGAGTAAATATTGTTCTCAGATCTTAAATTACAGCTATAACTACTAGTTGAGACTGTGGGGAGGACAGGGATCTATTTAAAACTCTTGTTGCTGCACAAGCTGTTTTTGCCATTCCTAACAGTTACACGCATAGTTATCGTCTCACATCATCTCATCTTCACTTTCCACACAAAATTACAGGAAAAAGAAAAAAAAACTCAGAGGTGGATGAGGGGTCTCTAAGGGCCATGCTCACCTTATGCCTTCTTGTCAGGATGTGTGTTAAATTATTGAGCAAGATGGAAACTACATGCATAAGTAATAGCAGAGACTCTGCTTGTAAATATAAAAACTACACAACACACAAATAAGGACTTTAAAAGTAAGGCGGTTTTAAGAATGAATGAAGGAAAGGGACTCTTAAAGGTGGAGTGCAAGCTGTGTTGTTACCTGAGCTTTTCTCTGGCAGAAAAGCTTTGGAAAGGGCTTCATTTTCTTTACAAATGATGGGATAACTCAAGGGACTTTATTGAGGCCTGGCCTTACAGATTTTCGTGTTTGTTCAGCAGAAAAACTCCCAAAGTATTTCTCTATCAAAAAATAGATGCAAAGTGTTCTGCTGTGAAAGCTGCCCATTAGTCATCTCATCAGCATGTTGTAGGAATGAGATGTATGTGGACTGATTTCATGGGGGCTTTCCAGATATACAGGGGAAGATGAGGGAGAAGGGCTTCGTGCTGTTTTCCATTGTTAAACCTTTGATCTTGATAGAAAGTCTTCATTTTTGCTAAATTAGGTCAGAGCACAGCAGTACACTGTTGCTAGTTTTGCGGCTGAAAAGGGGTTTTTCTGACAGAAGCTCTGCTGCTTTGGAGAAAACCACAACTTCAAAGTAACGGGAGGAGTAAGAAAATGTGCCATTGCGAGGGGAGGAAAAAGAGGGAAAAAAAAAACGGAAATCAGAAGGGAAAAACTTGCATCTAAACATTGTCGGAGTGTGTGTGTGTGCATGCGTTTGTACATTCATATGTACTGTGTCTGTGTGTATCTCTGAGATGGGAAGTACAGCTCACAGTGTCCTGGGAAGGGAAGCGGGCTTGTCTTTGATGATGCAACGCAGAGTTAATAGTGACAGTGTATGTCTGCCTGTGCGCCTGCATGGGTGTGCATATGTGTCACTCTTTCCATGTCCTATGGACGAAAACAGGCCGTGTGTGGGAGCAGCAGTACATGTAAATTCTCTTGTACGTCTGTGTTGGTTTAGATATGCAGGGGCTGAAATCCCAACATCCACTCCAAGGTACTTATAAAAAGAGATTTTACCATACTCTCGGCTACTCTAATGCTCACTGTGATTGTGATTTTCTCCCGTGATAGCCATATTTACATTGCGCTGCAGGACAGTGGTGAATTAGTTTCCACTGACTATGGGAACAGAAGGAAGCGAAAACAGGCAGACGTAGCTGGTGTTATGAACCGAAAGACATCTAAAAAAAAAACAATGCAACAAACGTTAATACTGACGAAAAATGACTGCTAAAAATACAACACATGTACTGTGTTTGTAGTACAATAAAAAAACCTCTTCATTGAAAGGGGCATATTATCTATATAATTTCACGATCTCTATTTATGACTAATGAAAAAATTGGTCTAACGGACTAATGTCTAATAAAAACCTGTTGGCCCCCCCCAAAAAAAGAAATACTGTATTCGTAATTAACTAATCACAGGCATTCAAATCCTAACATATTTGTTGACTTTAGGAGTAGAGCATTTAACGATTAATTTGGGACCCCCATGCTCAAGATGCCGAAGATACAGAGGCGCCTGGAGTTGTTGCACCGGGGAGCTATTCCCAGTGAGTCAGCATGACATGAGCCCCTTTACCACAGCTGCCGTGCCATATATCACTCTCCTTATGTCCGTCATGCTCTGAAAGAGCAGGGACTGTTGGGAAGTTTGAATCTGCCCCTACATTTTGGGTGTTCTGTTCCAACTGTCCCTTTCAAACTGAGACGACATCCCATAGAGATTATTGTCAACTTTGCCCCCCTCGCTCTGTCTCCCTAACCTTAGCGGCTTTCACTGGGCTGTGCTCGGATGCTACAAAAGTGCAAAAAACCCGAAGTAATTTTAGGTGTCTTGACATTGCTGGAATTTCTCCACGGTATTTGGTCTCATTGCCAGCTCTATTTTCTCCTGCCATGCTTGGTTGATCCTGCAAAGGGATGGCTCACAGGACCTCATAACCCCCTTTCCACTCCCACTGAGAAGGCCAAGCCGGAGGATGTAACCAGGGGGAGAAAATATATAAATATATAACCAGGGAGATGGGATGGCACTCCTCTGGGAGCGTTTAGACAGTTGGAAAGTTGGAGGAAAATACTACAGAAGAAACTCAAGTGGTATGGCAGGCTAAATGGGTTTCTCTCTTTCTCAGTTTCTGCTATGAATCTCTGAGGACTCTGTGGCAGCATGCTGCTGAATATCTGAGTCACTCAGGCTATCAGAGCTGAAATGAATCCTGATGTTTCTAATGGCTGTGGTTCTTGAGTTGCAGGGTTAGTTGGAGAAATGTCAGGCCGCAAAGTGGAGAGAAGAAGAGATGAAAGATCAAGACTAAAGAGGCCCAGGTGTGTGTGTGTGTGTGTGTGTGTGTGTGTGGGCACGTTTATGAACATGCACAATTATGAGTATGAACCCCGCACTCCTCATATCAGTAAGTGGTAATTTTCACTTTTCCTATATACCTATTATCCAGTGTGATTTTCACCTGTTCTCCATTTCTCTTCCTCCTCCAGTCTTTTTGTTTCTTTTGGTTCATATATACAGCAATCAGCTATTGTGTGGGTTTGCTAATTTTGGACCAAGCTTATAATCTTGGTAAATATAATTGTACTCATGAAAAAACAACTGTGGAATATAAACCGTCAGCAATTCTTGCTATTTAACTTTTTTTTCTTTTGTGCAAACTGCTAAAATAGTTGTGTTACCAAACGTTGCAAATTACATCTGATTTTATCTAAAAATGATAACGAATATTTTTAAGAGCCTAAAAAAAATCTTTCAAGATAAAACAGCCTTTTCATTCTGGTGTTGTGATTAAATAAACACGGCTTTTTGTCTGAACCTTTGTTCTGGATGACAAATACAGCCGTGTGCACCTAGTGAGATATTGGAACTGAAATGTGCTCTGAAGGGTAACATTATATATGGTACACCTCTAATAACAAGAAACACACTCAGATACTTTTACCATCAAAGCGCATCGAAGTCAGATCACTTCTGTCAGATTTGAACAGACATTGATTTGGATTCAGGTTAGTGCTTGCAAAACAAATCACCCTGTTTTTGGAGCCCCACATCGAATATGAAACAGACTGCAGATAACAAGCTAAGAAAAGAGCAGCTCTGATCTAACTTTTCTCCCTGCAGAGTGAATCTATCTGTCATGCCTGGAAGTTTTTTGGTTTTGCTTTGTCATGTCTTGGTCTTGTCATTTCCTGTTTTCGTTTTGAGAATGAACTTTCCTCTCGTTTCAGATCTCTTGCCCTTCCTCATGTGTCACCAGTCCGTCTTCCCTGATTCCTTATTGTGTCTACCTGTTACTCGTTTCTCCTCATGTGTAGTTATAGTCCGCGTCACCCCTTGTTCTGGTGCCAGATCCTTGTACCCTGTCGACTGTCATTGTCCAGTCATCAATGGTTTCTGCCTCAGGTCTTCTTGCTTTGTTTGGCTTCTTGTTTTTGTATTTATAGATTTTTTTTCCCCGTCCAGTTTAGGTTTGGGATTTATCCAGCAATTCTTGCGTTTTTTGTTGTTACCCCATAAATAACAGTTATTTTATTCCCCCAAGTACTTGATCCCTGTGTCTCCCTCTTTGGTCCCGCACCTGGATCCTTCCTAACTGTGATCAGCCTTCGTGACACTATCTTAAAAATATCATTATCACATCCACTCTCTGCCCCATATTCTAAATTTCTATAAATACAATTACTGATGAAAAAAAAAAAAGTAAAGTTGGATATGAAATCTAGGTTATGCAATTTATATAGAATATTATATATGTCATAAAAAGGTTGTAAATAATGGCATTGCTTATTCCTCTTTGTTGTCCTTCCTTTTATATGAGTGTGTGGGTGCACATTAATAAACCCTATTAACATTTCACAAGCTTGAACATTTTTATGAAGGCGAAAATAATCACGACTAGTTTTTACATGTGAAAACATAATCACTTCATCACTTGTTCGACAGATTATATAGTCTGGTAAACACATCAATTTTCATTACAGTTATTAAATAATACCTTTTTATTTTCATATATAATATGAGCCATCTGCTACAAATCTCATTTGACTCGAACTTATAAAAAAACCTCGTTGTTTCTAGGTTACTGATTTGCTCCCTAATCATCAATATATTCAGCTTATTTAAATACAGTCAGTCGGTCCTGACCTTGAATAAAACATTCTGAAATGTACCCAGAACTCAGTTAACATGAACTTCCTTGCAAATGTATGTGTCCATGTGCACTTTACTCACTGATGAAATTTGTCTGGCCGGTGTAGATGGTGTACTGTAGCTCGTAGGAGGTGACACTGAACTCGTCCTCAGATGTCCAGTGAACAGTAATGGTATCATGGGAGGCGGTGCACAGCTCATCTCTGATGGATGGTGGGTTGGGAGCTGCGCGTGGGGGAATGCAAATGGTCTTTTATTGCATTAAAAGTCCAGATTGATAATTCAGATTTCCAATAGATTCTATCCTCAGAAAAAAAGATAAAGAATCACCTCAATATTTGCACAGTACATCAAAAAGATGAATGGAGCAGAGAATGGTCGGCTGTGCTGTCTACAGCAGCCGATCAATTTACCGACTCCAGTAATATTAGGTCTTTTTTATATGATTTAAAAATCACTGCATGAATTAAAATCACAGCAAAAATCACTGCATGAATTTTTTGCATCATAAAATCATGCCAAAGATGATTTAAGGGGGACATATCCCCCTTAACAGGAGACCTATTGTACATAATTAACATGATCGTTGTAAACGAGACGTTACGGATGCTTTACCTGTGAGGTAATCTAGTCCTTCAAGAATTTTCTTCTCTCGGGAAAAGTCAAGAGCAAAGTTGTCAAAAGCCTCATTCAGGTTGACATCAGGAATGAGTACCTGGGAGGAAGCCGTCGCCATGGCAACCCTGTGGAACGATCAGGACGGATGTAACATACAAAGGACAAGCCAGAGGTCAGATGATGTGTTGAGTGGAATAGAGGAGCAGGAGGAGGGGGGGGGGGGGGTGGGGGGTGAAAAATGAGGCAGATGGGATGGAGAAATAAAATAAGCCAGGTGAAAAGGGCAGACATAATCAGAGAAACAAGAAAAGGTGTGTGGAAACACCTCGCTAGCCTCAAATAAGGTGTCAGTCTTCCAACACACCTGAAGCACTGACAATGCTCCAAGAATCCACAGCTCTAGCTCTATGGAAACCTTCTGATTTCAGCAACAAAAAGCAGCCTGGATGAGGGCTTTGGCAAATTTACAGAGTCTTCAGAGAAGCACAAAGAAAAGCCGGTTTGCAAGACTAAAAAAAAGGAAAAGGACGAAGCTAAGATCAGCATTTAAGAAAAAAAAAACTGAAAAAAAGCTCAGCAGGGGCCAAATAAAAGATGATACGCTGGCTACCGATTTTCCTAAAAGTTCTTAGTCTCAAAGTGAAAGAGTGAGAGAGCCTCCGGCTTGAGGCGGGAGGAAAGGGTGAGAGCAATAAAGCGGTGGGAAGAAAAAAACTGCAGAGCTGGCCCTTAAATGATATATGATTTTCAACAGTGGACTGACATTGATCACAAAAGTAGGAGACGTTTGATAAAATGTTGATTTCACCAGCAGCTCTTCAACTGGATTTCAGAGGTACAAATCAAATATAAGGGAACTCATTCCAGAGGAGAGAATCAAATTTAAAAAGTCAAACAAAGTCATGTTGTCAGACACACTGAAAGCAAGACTTTTTCACCATAATTTATAATAATTGCATGCACTGCAGAAAGAGGGGCAAGAATGCCTGGATGACTTAATCTAACTTTATTGTAGCTGCTTTTGATTTCATGACTGGCAACATGCTCCAAAATTGAGAATTTGATAGTGTTGATGTTGGAATGTGCAAGCATTTCAGACTATTTAGATATTTGTCCAACCAATAATATAATATTTTGCCGGACCAATGATCAATTTTTTCCCACAGTCTGCTCCTAGAGCCCATCATTTTAGTAGAAAACAAATAATACACAAAAAAGAGGGAAACAAGTGCAACTTTAAAAGTGGAGATACAGATAAAGCTAGAGATCTACTACTACACAGCAGTAGCTGCATGGACTCTGTTGTCCTGGCAGGATTTCACGCACCTTTCTGCAACATTCCTGGCAGACTGGAGGAAGCGGGCGTGGTCATTCTCCTTCAGGCTCTGCTCGGCCTGCGTGATGAGAGCACTGGAGCGCTCCAGACACTGGCGACAGTTTGCGATCTGCTGGGCCAACTTGCGCAGTTTCATCACCTGGAACCGACACAAACACGAAAGGTGTTACTGTGACACAGTTTATAGTAATTTACACAGCCCGGGCCTCCACGGAAGAGATCCCTGCTGTGATTACTGTTCAGGCTCTTCTTAATGGTGAAAACACAGACACTTTGCTATGGAAAAGTTTCACAAACACAAGAATTTGGCTGTTAACCAAAGCTTGTGCCTCTCAGCTTTGCACAGGCATATCAGTATGAGGTACCAGTACGCTGCAGAAACCACTAATCCACAACTGCCTCGTGTCCACACAGTCTGCTTCACAGTCAAAACTGCTGTAAAATATTGACACAAGCCCCTGTGAGCCCCTGTTCTGTTGGGTATCTGTAACAACTTTCCACATTCGGGACTACAGTATCAGTGGCCGAAGCTGAGTTACAGTAAATGGGACACACAAGCCATGTGTGAATATCCTGGATCTTAATCCTGCATTAATTTGTCAGTGGAAACTTGGCTGAAAAACAAAAATTAAAAAACAAACAACTGACAGTTTATACGAGGGGGAAGCTATTCTGCACAGGGAAGTTATTTCATACGAGGCATAACTAAAACATCTGCCTTTCCGTCCAAAAAACTTCCAAGAGATGGCTGAGACCACACGCCGATGCATCTGAAGATCCAGAGGAATGGACATGCAGCAAAAAAGAGGGGCAGGAAGACAAAGAATGCAGCAGAGAGGAGAAAGGGAGGGTCAGGGCTGATTGTACCCATTGCTTCTTCTGCTGCTAAGCTAGCAGACGATGCACAAAATGCTGGCTCGCTATAAACAATCTGAGTGTACCTGACTGTCCACTAAAGACTACCCAGTCTAAACACATTTGCTATTTCTTTATGCTCTTGATGTGCATAATTCAGATGTCCCGCCATGCAGGAAATGTGATTCTCTGCCACAAATATGGATCCTCATTAAAACCAGGTCAGGGATCAGACACAAGTGCGCACACACACATGCAGTTTTGTGATCCTGTCCCTTTTTAATACAATTTGTCAGTACATGTGCTGTAATGTAATTTCCATCTGAGGATAGGAAAGCCATTCTCTGTTAATTCAAAATGAAACTCATCTGATTATTTTCATTGCAGCTCATATCCTGATTCTGCCTATGAACTTAGTTTGATGAGACTCGCCATGGTAAATAACAGAGCCTGCTTGTAAAAATTGAGAATGTTAATAAAAGGTGAGCAACAGAGCAACATACAGTACCAGCTTTATGACCCGTCCCCACAGCACAAACATCATTCACCACCAATAATCACAGGGAAATTAGAGGAAATCATGCGGCCAAAGGGACTTTTCCAGGAGACCTTGTGCATTAACTTGTAATATTTCAATGTTCCCTGAGGGTAACGAAACAGCAAAATCACCAATGACTTTCTAAGCTAAACACATGGTTAGATGTGCCAGCTCTCAGTTTTTTACTTTTCATGGAGTTGAAGGGCACCATTTAAATATTAATAAATGATCTGAAATTTTTTTCCAGTTTCTTTCTTTAAGTAAAAAGGCTGCTTCTCTTAGATGTCTCTTAGAGCACAAGACGTAAAGTTACCTTTAACTAATCTAATCTCTTCTTCTAATTAGTACATGACAATGTGTTTTCACTACAAACAACATTTAAGCTGGCTGCTGACTGCAAACAGAGATGAAGCGAGATGGCTTTAATGGATGTGTTATCATTTGGCAACATATGCCACAAACAACAATTATAAGAGATGATCGCTGTTAGAATAACAGACAATATGGCACAGTATGCATGTGTCTGTCTCAGGGCTGGCTCATCTAAATAAGAGAGTGAATCCCTGGACGGTAGAAAAAAGTGGTGCAGATAGATGAAAAATGTGTGCAATTTCTGTCACACGTTTACTTTAATTGATGCAATCTTTAGTTTCTGGTTTGGAGGCAGAGTGCCCTATTGAGCACTGTGACTTTTTCTAGAAAGTTTAAACAAAAAGAGACAGTCTGCAAGTAATTTTAGCTACAAAAGCAACAACAAATCTGGAAGTAAATTTAGTTTTTTCACCATAAAAAATACTATAACAATCAAAGATTGTTCAGGGCCCGCACTTATGATCAAAGATGCAATATACTGCTTTTGGCAAGATGGTTGGTAAGATTTACAATTTAGGTCACGCTGCATTCTTACGCCATAAATGCATACAAAACCAAACAGGAAAATCGTTTCAAAGGATGAGACGACTGCTCCAACAACACAAAAATGTGCATTGCTGGCCTCACAAGTGAGTTTGTTTCAGACTAACAGGAACTTCAAAGTCATATCCAAAGCACTTAAGTCCATTTGTTATGATAGCTGGAAATGTTAGAGATAACAGAAACTCCAGATCAGGACAAAGTCTGTAGTCTCTGCACAACATACTGCATCATGCAAATACTTATATTCCCTCATTCTCTGAGCTGTGTTAAAAACATACAGTTTCATGTGAGAATAGCGCAGTCAATAACCAGTAAAAGACCTGATCTTAAATTGTATCTGAGAATGTCAGGTTTTAGCCTCTCAGAACTGGAATGCGTAGAGTATTCAGAGGCTTTTCTTCAGTAAAAAAGGCAACACTTTACAAATATGCACATAAATGTTGAAAATGTAAACTGTTGAGAAAGTAAAATATTCCAATACTCACTTAAATTACAAAAAAAACTATTATTAGGATATAAACATGTAACGTATGTTACTGATGCAATGAGTTAAATCAGTGTCCAGGTATTAGAAAGGAGGAGGAGAGGCTTTGGAGACAGTCTGTGGCTCTACAAGTACACACACGCATACCAGGTCAATGGAAGGTGTGTTTTGGTGTGGCAGTTGAGAGACTAAGCATGTAGCCTGAGTTCCCCTCGAGAGATAGAAAGCTCATTGTGGGGAGGTAAGAGAGCGTATGGGAACACCTTTCCCAAAACTGCCTGGAACAGGATCAGTGGTGTGCACAACAGCATGAAGTGAGCTGCGTTTCCCTGACAGGGTGGTTGTGCGGAAGCATGATATTGTAGCTTTGTGTCATTTTTCCTGACCCTTTAAATCTGTTATTTTGCATGTGCTATATTTCCATCTCAGTCTCTTGCATTCCCGCAGCCCAACAGGCTTTTATAGGTCGAGACTCTCAGGAGAACAGAGTCTTGCTTTTTGGCTGCAATCACGATGGACACACCAACCCATTTCCTCTCTCTTACGCACACATGCACACCAACACTTGTGGCTAGTTCAGTTAAACCTTTCTGCTGCTGTTATGTATCCCTCAGTTCTCTCACACACATGCTAACGCACACCCACATATACAGTAGATTTAAATTTAGTTATGGTTCTCTCGTAGAAACATCACTCATCTTGACATTTCACGCCTAAAATTGATTTCCACTCGACTTTAAGCCACGAATCATGACAGGCTTTAGACACAGATCTACAGATGGAGCATGCACTCAAATACAGACACAAACACAAAAAAAAACTTGACTGATCATAAAATGCATGGAACAAATTATAAGAAATTCTCTGTCAATGCCTTATTCAAACCCACTTTGAGCATTATAGTGGAGCTTTTAAGGGAAAAACTCCAACACCCTGGTTAAGCTTTTTCCTCTAAAAGATAACTTATATTTCAGATAATACTTAAACAATCCTAACTGGATATCTGTGTTATTTCATATCAGCTCAGTGCTCACAGACACTCATTTGGTCAAACACATGTTGTCCCACCCTCTTTTGCCCCATCATGTCCAATTCTCAGTCAAAGTTACTGTTACTGGCAGAAGTCCTCTTAAATAATGTTATCCTACTCTAAAACAAAAGAAAGAAATCCAGCTAATATGTTACCTTGGACTCTTTGATCTTCACAGCGATGACCTGTTTTCTCTGTCGGATGATCTCCACCAGCTCATCGCACTCCTCCACCAGCTTTGCTTCATGCATTGCTGTGTTCACCTGGATTAGATACAAGAAAGCAAATTTCAAAATGCTTAACAGGCTCACTCCTAGAACTGTGATATGCACATTTTCATATAAAACAAAATCTCGTTAGTTCACTCCAACTTAATTGTACACCATCTCATTTTTCTGTGAAAAAAAAGCTTCCATTTTCCAACATGTTAATAGTTTTGTGCGATTTCTGAACAAGAATGATTCATATGATCGCAAACAGAATTTAATTCATCATTCCACTTTGTAATGCCAGGTGTGTTTTAACACCTGGGCTAACTTGAGATAAAATTGGGAGAGAAGTGATTTCCTATTCATTAACTGTGTCATCGAGAAGTCTGTTAATCATTCTGAAAAGCGCACGCTGGTCAATGGGGGATAAGAACCTATATACATGAAGTGGGCTCACTGATTTGTGGTGAAATGTCAAATGAAGCCCTCATAAAAAATACCACACAATACCACAACGTCCTTTTCATAGGGTTCCTGTTTTGTAACTGGCAGAACATATTTCTATCATGCCAGTTTAATAAATTCTTTAATTACATTAGAGCCAAAGTTGGCAAAGCAACTCATCATCGCCCCGCTTTTTCAGGCCAACATGATTTAAAAAGCCAACTTCAGACTTGGGTGTTGCTGAGACGACGAGTATGTTTGCTGAATTGCAACAACAAGCCCCTACCAAGAGGTCTGCCAATTGCACAATATAATTACGGCAAATGCCTCTGAAACACTTTCAGCAGGGGTTCAAATGAAAAACCGCTCTGATACAACTTTACTGCTGAGGAAACGAACAGAGCAGAAAAACCCCAAACTGCAAGGCGTGCAACTGGGAAAGCTCCCTTTGTGCAATTTGACCCATCACAGTTAGGAAGGATAGTTTACCACCGAGTTTCCTCTGGTTCTTGTGTCATCAGGAAATCTTTTGGATAGGAGCACAAATGTGTGAGATAGAAACCACATTCATCCTCTTAATGAAACAAAAACTTTCCAAGGTGAAGTTGCTCTCTGCATATAGAGAAACACTTTCTCTGTTCCAGGAATTGACGTTTCATTTATACTGGAACATGCAAACTAAACTCTGGGTCTATGTGACGATGCAAAAACTCAGACAAAACGCACAGAGCTGTACTCAGCTGTTTGGATGAAGCCCAAATTGTCACACTTCATATGTGAAGTTGTTCTTTGCCACATGAACTGTAAAACACACATACACATAAAAGTGACATGTGGATCAATATTGTCAGCTCATAGAAGATGATACATGATAACATGAAAGTCAGATAATAACGGCTGCAATACAGATGCTCAATGGTCAGTGCTCTAATGAGTTATGCTTACTTTGATTGAACCATCCGTATTATTAAAGCTCTAATAGACTTTTTACCTCTGATTTAGTGGCATGGGAATAATTATTACTTGGTAAATTCACTTATTTTGGATTTGTTGCCTTCACTTTCGTCTTCACTGTTTATACTCAGTGTATGCCCAACCCAAAACTATTTACCCCAAATTCACCACAGCTCTTGTATTTATCTGGGTTCTAACAGTCTAAAAAGATGCTGAAGCATTGTGCTGAATGATGATAAAGAACTACGAAGTAGGAAACTATAGAGAGCTGTGGCATCCAATTTTCCTCAAAAGCATCATACAGTATAACTGGGTATGTGCAAATGTTATGGGCCCACAGAGTGGAAAACTATTCTCAAGAGGGATTGTTTCTGTTACGCGAGTGCATGGAACTAGCAAAATGTCACATTGCCAATCATCCTCTAGTGACACGGCTGTGCCTGACATTTGCTCACACACAAGTGGAAGGCTCTCTCCTGAGCAGTTTTCTGCTTAGTGGTACTTTTCTTTACACTTATATCACATGCACACTGTTTGGTGTGTAGGCTATATTAAAACCGCAAACTCCAGAGTGATGTACATGATAAAACAGTGTGTGGATAGCTCTGTTCATATAGCAGATATATGCAGATCATATACCAAACTGAGACTCAAGATTACAGTCAGGGGTAGTTGTGGAAAAGCACCAACGCACAAACTCAGACACCGAAACCTTCAGTCGCAGTTAGAGTCTGACGAGGGCTTATAAAACTACTTACTGTAACAACCAAGTTCCCCTCATCGCTCCACAAAGCTCATTACAACACGGCAATCCACTTAAGCCTCATTATTCACACTCACTCACTCGCTCACTCACACACACACACACACACACATTTTGTGCTAGTGTCTTTGTAAGGACGCTCATTGTAATGATGCCTTCCGCCTAACCTTGACCACAATAAGTCACCGTTTAATCCCAGCCAAAATCTAACTCTAAGCTGAACAGTAAAGCCAAGTCCCAAGAGTTTGACTGTTTTTGTTGAAAACTGAGAATTGGCTACCTTCCATGAACATCTATGACCTAAAAATCAAAGGTGTCCTCACAAGGATAGAGAAAGATAGACGCACACACGCACAAACAACACAATTAATACTGCAAACAACCACGTCATGACTGCAGGTTAGTAATTAGGCAGGATAAATACAGCCATCCAGGATCACAGTCCATCACAAGTGGGCTGCTTGACAGTCACGGAAACAGAGCTCTCCTCTGTCCTCCTTCCATTTCCCTGCACTAAAACCCTCTACATGCTCTTGACATTATTATCCACCTATCGCTACTCAAACATTGTCACCCTCTGCATATTTCCCTTTTTACTAGGCTATTCAGCAGGTGCATTGACATCACTGTGCCAGCTGGGCATGAGGCATGGCTGTGTTGCTGGAATGTGTGAAGAAAAACCACAGCCGACTTGAAAACCCCTTTCATTGTCAAACACTATCCAACTGCTTTTGCCATGAAAATAGCTGAGAAATGTGTAAAAGGCTGCCCTGCAGGAACTCGTGAATTTGCAAAAAGCAGAGCAAAAATCATATAAATCATGAATATCACAGACTAAGATCACACATTCACCTCAAATTATTACAAATGAACTCACTCATGAAGAGAACATCATTCATCCACACCAGTAACTGAGTTAGTCACTATGCATGCATATTCTTTATAAAAGAAATTGATAACTAGTATCTAAAATGAATGGAAAATTCAAATAACTGTCTTTGCAGACCAAAATGTTTAAACACAAAGCAAACTCTGCTCATATCTTTAAATAGTGCTTGTTTATTAATTTATTTGTTTATTGACTTATGTGCAGCTGAAGAGGTCCGAGCTCATTCGAAAGAATTCCAATAACCATTTGCAAAAACTCCATGTCGACTATCAAGATTCAGACTTCACCTGCACACTGCAAACCGGCAACACGTAATCAAATCTACAGTGTTGTATGTAATCTTTCACATCTGGGTTTCTTACAAGAGCATTACAATGTAAATAATAAGTCTAAGAATTAATTTATTCACACATAGTTTACACAAAAAATTAATGCAGCTTTTCTTACAAGCCAAAGTGAAATAAATATAAACAGATCAGATATTTTCTTCCCTGGCACTCTGCAAATAAAGACAATGCTAATACGCGTGCAGCCGAGAGGAACCACCAGCCAGCCATTCAGATGTTGCCCACCATGCTGAGGTGAATTAAACAGAAAATAATTCAATGCTTCTTAAATTACCCTGACAGTGTGATTCAATATTGTCATTTCTTTCCATGCTGTGGATGGAGAGCATCTGTTCTTTTCAGAGAAATGTGGTGAATAGTGTCTATCAGTTTTAGTAATGTTGCAATGCTCATTCATGGCTTAAAGTGCTATATGCATCATAGTAATAACTCCATCACATATGTCTTTTTTTCTCACTCTGAATGTATTTTTTGCTAACGCAAATGTTCACTCCAAAACAACTTTTTGAACTATTGTCCAAATCCCAGAGGCAATCCCCATGCAAGTGTGACAAGAGCATAAAGCACTACATGTTTTTTTTAATGATAAAAACAGTGGTTATGGTTTGAAATATTTATTCATGATATTCTATACACTGCAGATAGTTGGTGCATTTGCAGCTCTTTCATATCAAGCTTTTTTCTACAGCGGGTGTCAATAAATAATCACAATTTTGATATTTGGTGGTGGCATACTGAACAAACTAAGCTGGGAACTGTGAGATTTCCATCTGGCTTTAAGAAAACTAGAACCATGATTCAAAATTTGGTGAATGTTTCTCATAAAGTAATGTGCATTTATATTGAACCATAAAGTCCAATAATCCTGATTTTGTCTGTTGCCCACATATGTTTGAGGCAAAAACAGCTGAACTAGTACAGAGGAACTATGCACTGCTCTCTTTGTAAACTATTCTAGCCAAAATGGTTTCACACCACAATAAAAAATGTTTGGGTTCAGAAAAGCTGTTCACCTCTTTTTGACACCAGAACTTTGATCTTGAATCAATTATTTCCCTCAGTCTCCTGATTTGCTTATTTTCCTTCAGATGTCCTGATGTCCTCAAACAGATGCAAGCTTTTAGGGTGATGTCCACAGTATCAGGACACCGTGTGGCACCTGGCTCTTATAATGGAATGCCTTTCAACACCCAGACCAAAATGATCTACTTTTTGGACAATTATATTATTTATTATAAAAAAAACCTCGGTAAAAAAAAACCTTCTGTTAAAAAATGTACTAAACACAATTAAAGTGAACTGAGTACTAGTTGTCATAAGGCAGTGGTGTTAAGGGTGGCTTTAATGTTATTCTGAACGTGTAGTTCATTAAATAGATTTTTTCATCTTTGAAATGATTTATTTCCATTCTTGGTTTGTGACCAAGAATCAGAAGACAATGAAACACTGACTGTAACTCAATCAAATTACTTAAACTTTCAGGAGCTGTAAAAGTTCTAAAGCTTATAATGCTTTAAATTTGAGTAGAGGGTTTGACAATAGATAATTGCAACCATAAACACCTTTGAAGAAACTCTTAAGATTCAAAAGGCCTTATAAAATTAATTATGAGCTTCTGGAAAGGGCATAAAGAAACAGTGCTGACTCTGTGAAAGCAAATATTTAACTATGTGCCATTAGCCATTGAAATTACGTTCCTGTCTTTTCTGTTAAGGGAAAACTGCAGATTATCTCCCTTATGCTAAGGCAGGAAGGTCAAGAGAGGAAGTATGAGACTTTTTAGGAAAGATTCAGGCAGCAGTGCAGCCACCTTTACCCAGGTATTTTAGATTCTGCACACACGCTCAGCTCAGAAAGGCAGAAGGAATTCCACTCGCTTCCATCAGTTTCAATCCATGCACAACTTCAACACTGATCCTAAAGTAGGAAAGAACTGGCTGCTAAAGCTGAAAGCTGCAAAATAAAGGTTCCAAGCCTCAGGGCATAGGTCTTTAAGGGGTCATAGTTAAAATATAAAACCACACACAGATGCTTTTAGATACTCTTTGCCAGATGACAGTGAAACAATTTCAATACAACAAAATGAGAAAAAACAAGAAATAAACTTTACCAACTAAAGTTTTTGATTTCTCAAACAGCCAAGACCCAAATGTTGCATGAAATAATCAAGCAATTATCCTTATTAAAAGCCCATTGGAGATGATGGAGGCAAACACTGTGCAGGCATTAGCATGGCTGTGAGTACCATTTCAGCTTCCACTAAGGCTGAATCATTTATCTCAGTATCAGTGTCTCTTCAACATTAAAGTGCTTTTTAGGGAAATGCTCTCCAGCAAACAGCCTCACTGAGTGTCTCTGCTCTTGTTGACTATTAATAATCTTGTTCTGAAAGAATAACACTAATGTGTGTCATCTAAACAGAGATCCTTTGAAATGCTCAGTAATCACACCATTCGTTCAGTGTTTTCAAGATCACTGATCCTTATTCTGACTGTTGTGAAGTAAGCACAAAAGACAGAGGCCTTCTGAGAAAGAAAGCAGCCGAATCATCATCAGGTCAGCCAATCTTTTCTAAAACTGAATAAAAGATCATTCCCAGAGGAAAACCCCACACTGGTGTGTGCTGACACACTGGAAAAAAAAGACCCACTGCATCTGATCACATCTTTGGCTTCAAATGAGGGTGATACAAACAGAGACAAGAGGAATCCAGGTCATGCTCAAAACCCTCACTCATTTTGCACACACTCGCCTGACTCTATTAGAATTCTCACTTTCTTATTCCCTTTTTGTGTTGTGCTGCATTATTGCTGAGCGCTTTCCCCCCCCCTATGGTGCCTGTGCCCGTTACAGCCCCAAAAACCAGCAGAAGTCACGCTACCATTTACAGGATGTTCTTCTTACCCCCCCGCCCGTCCTCGGTTTGCCCTCTCAACCCCTGCTTTTGTCTGTCTTTTATCCTCCACGTTTCCCCTTGTGTCTCTATTTCTTCTCCATGTTTGCTCTCTCCCCTGCTCTTGTCTCCTCTCTTCCCACTACTCATAAAGAGCCACTGTGCACTTATCTGGGTTCACGCAAAAAAAAACCTCAGCCCCTCAAATCTCCTGTAAATAATTAACACACCGGCCTTTTGTGACTGAGATCACAACAGACAAAAGCTGTGAGTGAATGCAAACATGCTGGGGGAACATAAAGGTTTTGCAAAATAATTTGTTTAATAGTAACTGGGGCATGTCCCCACCCATGTTGGTGCTCCTACTTTTTGATAAATAACTGATGGGATTACTCTAATGTTGCTGGAGGCACAACAGCAGTTTGCAAAGACAAAAATGCCTTTTTTCCTTTTTTCCATGCAGTGTTGATGAACAGTTCGTTTGTGCTCAGTGTCATCCCCTCGTAGGAAAAAAATGATCTGAGCACAGAGCACCGACATGCATGTCGTCGTCAGCCGTTAATGCCGAATCCTTCAGAGAAATATTGCATTCATTAAGAGTGAGTGTGCAGAGACGGAAAGCCTGCTTGTGCATACGCTAGTGATTCTTAACAATCAAAGCAACATTCATCTGTATATCCATTTACTCTAAACCACGACTAAAAAGGAGAGGTCAACAGTGACAGCTGAGGTGTGAAACAATAATAAAGTAGCATGTGATGCACCACATAAAAAACATATACCGTTATCACATCAACTTATTTTACTTGATTGTGTGGAATATGAATTTCTCTTTAATTGTTTATGCATTTAGGAGAAGCTTAATTAAAACAAATCTAAATGATTTCTCTAATGATTACTGGAAAGAGGTCATGCCAATGTTTGGAATTAATAAATGACATGAGAGTGTTTCCCAAAAGGTTTCCCAATAAGGTTTCCTGTATTTGTTATTTATCATCACTTCCTGACCACACACGTGACAATAATTCAAATGGCAGATAATGATGCCACATGATTCAAAATGGACTCAAATGAGCGTACCTCAACCTGCTGACAGATCTGGATAAGTTTGGCCATTTGGTTCTCCAGTTCACTGTTCCTCTTTACCAGGTTGGTCAGGTTGTTCTCCAGGGTTTGCTGTTTGGGGATGGAAAGAGGAGAGAGGGGGGGGGGAATTAAAGGGAAAAGATAGAGACCGTGAACATCAAATTAGCTCTAGAATTAAAAATTCGCATTTTCATTCATTTGTTAATATACAATAGAGGTTGTCATTCATTACTTTGAAAGAAAAACAGTCCCTCGCATTTAGAACTGGTGCCGTTTGGAGGGTTTTAAAATGGAACAGTTCAGCAAATGGGTCCAAAAATCATGAAAATGTTGGAGACATAATAGGTAGAAATAATCCTGGCTGTAATAAGGTGGAACTGGGCTGGAGAGAAACGTGGAGATCACAAAAGAAGAGCATTCTCCTTGAAAAGCAGCATGCTTTTCTAAATTTTTTTCTGATTTCAAAGGCATTTCATTCACTGATATGTCATCATAACAAATAGAAAGATAGCAAAGTTATAACAAAGTTTATGTAAAATTAATTAAATGGCATAATTGATTTTAACAACTTTAAAATTAAATTAGCTTTTTATGAGCTAACAAAGATGTTTTTGAAAACTAATTTAACCCTCTAAACTCATCATACTTTATTTGAAAGCCATGACAAAACCAATATAATCCCTGTACAGGAAACCAATAAACCTCAACGAGCAATTCTTTTAATGATCAAACAACACTCAATTACCACCTACACTTGACTTTGATGGCTTATCTGATGCAAAATGAAAGATGCAAACCCACATGAGAAACCTCACTCAAACACACACGCCTGGAAAAGATGAAAAGTGAAAACAAGGAAATAAGAAGCCAAAAATATGACTGCTATTCAAAGAAATAATGACGGTGGCATCAAAACAATATCTGCAGCTGCAAAAAAAAAAATGAAAAAGGCAGCAGAACAAAGCAGCAGACGAGCGGTGGTTCTTTGAAGTATCTACTTATGGATGTGACGGCGGGTTGGGGTGGGCCGGACGATCTCCTGGCCAAAGGTCTGACTGTCTGAGAGCACCTGCATCTGTCCCCCTCTTCTAACAGACACCCTCTGTGCTTTCCAATATCTCCCCGACCTGTCGCTCAAACTGATTTACTCTGTGTGTGTTGTCCGTCTGATTGACTTTGACTCACTTAATTACTTATCTCCCAGCTCCTTCCTTTCTGTATCTCTCCCTTAACTGTCTGGGGTTGTACCTAAAGGCCTGCTTGCCACCCTGCGTTCCCGCAGTGGGAATAGATGAAGACAGGGGTGGGGGTGTGGGGGGGGGGTGGTTAGAGGTTTTGGGCAGGGGATGGTAAAAGGCAGCCAGGGAACTCACCGCAGCGCTTGTCTTTGAAGCCTCCATTACAGCATCTGACACTCTGCCCGGGCTCACCTGATAAGCCTACAACACACACACACACATACACCTACGTAAGTGCACACATAGACACACGGGCAAACTTGGTCACGCAACGTCTGCCACCCTAAAAGCACAACGACCGAAAGAGGGGGACTCCTATTGCTACAAAACCGCAACAACCTTTTTGACATTTTGCCCCCTTGTTCGTGAATACAGATAAAAAAGAGTTGCCATGACATCTGCCTCCCTGAAACCGCTGTTAGTGTTGCATCATGGGAACACAGTTGGGTTGCTGCGTCACATTTCTGTTTGTGCAAGTTTATATCTGACGGAGTTTTGAAGTCGGAGCTTCAGTGAGGGGGGACAGATGGGTCATTAATTAGCAAGCTGGAGACCAAGATGATTAATACATTAGAACACAGCTGCCCCCCCGAGACTGCAGTGAAATAAACTCCTCTGTCCTCCACATGCAAACACTTGTGCCTCTGTTTTACATATGCAACTCAGAGGTTGTCGGCTTATAAATATTTGCAACATATTTCAGCATGAATATCATCAGAGATGTTTTCGGTTTGTGCTCAGATGATGCTTATGGACACTTTCTAGGGTGAAAAAAGTAAACAAGAAACCTTTGTGGGATCAAGTCCAGCAGCATGTAGGTTCAGACGAAAGAGTATGAGCTAATCCCTTAACAGCTCTAATTGGATAGACAAAAAAAATCTATGAAAAGACTGGTAAAGAGACAGATATAATATAACAGCTATAATATTCCCACTTATCTATTACTAGTCTGATAACACTAAAAGTCAAATTCATGTTGAAATATTATAATAAAGCCCTCACACACAGCAGCTCATGTATTCACTTAAAAGTCTAACTAAAAACCTTGTGGGAATGCATGTAATTCTGTTATTCTAACTCTAGTGGTGGTGGCCACCATAAGCAATGCCACACACACAAAAAAAACAACTTAAAAAAAGAAAAATGAGGAATGGGAGGCATGCAAGTGAAGGTGAAAACACCCTTTCCATTTCACAACGCACAACCTCACAGAGGTGCAGACTGATGGTTTTGCTGTGGCCCTCATGGCCTCCCAGTCTAGGAATGATCAAAATGCAAAAGAAAGACCTTTAAGCAGCAGCATATGCAAGACAGCACAACACATACACATCACAGCACTAAAGTTTACCTCTCAGTCGAAAATTTAAGGTCTGACCTAAACAACACAGGTAGAAGTTTGAGGTAAACAGCTCAGACCTGAGGCAAATGAGTGCTAGAAATACGTCAGCTGTGAAGTTTGTGGAGACATTTGGGGATAAGGCCGAGTCTTTAGTGTGAAATTTTTAACGGGTTTTAAAGTGTGGGAGAGAAGATGGAGCTATAAGAAGACAGCTACAGCCAGTGGGGGCACGAGAGATGTGTCTGTCAGACAAAAACAAACATGGACTAAATGTGATTGAGAGCAAGGGGAGGAATTCCGTTTTTCTAAAGCAACCTTGCTTTCATAGTGGTTAGAATACCAGTTTACATGAGAAGAACTTGTTTACAGCTGTATTGGCTTAACAAACATCAGTCAGATCAGTAGAGGGGGGAAGTCTGGAGAAAAAAAAAAACTGTAGTGTTTGACACCCTGTCACAGACTACCTTTTTAGTGTGAACATACTCATACTTCAGGACTCCAAACCTCAAGAGAAAGAAGTCCTTTAGTGAGTACAATACAAAAAGATAGTCTGACCTTTGCCTAATGGTCCTTATGGGGACACAAAGGTTGAGAGGAACCTGTATGACAGGGTCTAAATGGCCGGGTGCAGGCCCAGAAGTCCCTCTGTAGGAAAGCATTAGTCACTTGAATTTGATTCAGGCAGCCATGGGTAGTCAGACCAGGTCATCTGGTAATGGAGTGACATGTGCCCTTTCTGCTTGATCAAACAGCGCATGCACAGCACACAAACACCTGTAGGGCTTTGGCTGAACATGCTGGCAGCCACGATTGAAGTGTATTGCAGTGCTTGAGCGGGGAGAAAAAACCTTGCTTTTGACCATGACTCGTGTGGCCTGGTGAGTCAAATCCACATATGTTCTAGCTTAAAATCAAAAAGCATTCTTTAACTTTATGACATAGCTATCAATGTTTCTTAGCTATCAAAAGTGGAAAAAAAAACTGTGGATCCAGCCTAACCTGTGGTTCTCCCCCCCAGGCAACAGGCACCAAAGAAAGCTAAAACCACCTGGAGACAGTCAGCAGATGTAGAAAGAAAATATGAATAAAACAGTACTGCGACCATGTCGGATGAAGGGTGGTTGGCATGGGGTAATGTCACCCGATCAGTGATTGAGCTTTGGACATGTCGTGAATGGAAAGCCATGGAGACGGAAGGGGTTGATGAGATGAAAATGGGTCTGTGCCCTGTGCTGAGAGACCTAAAATGGCAGAGTTTTTCCAGTCTGGTCAGCCCTCAAAACCCCGTCGTCAGTCAGCCTATTCTGCTCTCCTCTTTTCCACTGCTATTTATCTTTGTGCCATTCACTGACTACTCCTCCATTCTACAATATATGTCCTCACTGTCCCCCACACCCTACGTCTGACTGAATCAGACCCTCTTCTGTCCGTCCTGGTGCAGCCACAAACCACAGCTGCCGACAGCCCATCAGCCTGAGTTAGATCAACACCCCTCTTCGGATGGCATCATTGTGTTGAGGGACTCCTGGGCCTCATCCATTTACAGATGATCCATTTTTCTCACTGCAGATCCGTACTTATATTACAGCGGCTCCAGTGACTACAGAGAAGGACCGTGAAAGCAATAATGGACACCTCTTTCTTGATGAAGGGGTAACTGAACAGCTTTTGTCTCAAGCTGTCTGAGACTGCTGTCACACTTTTATCTGTCATTACTACAATTCA